ACGTAGGCATGTTGCATGCAGCATTCGCCATACTGTATGTCTTTTCCAGAAAGGACGGGACAAATTTATCATTATTTTGGGATGAATAAGCTGCAGTCTTTTTCCAAAAATAGCAAACTACACAATAATACGTGAAGAGGGCGATCACGAGCTAATTCTTGGAGTGCATTAAAAGTTCGTCTTGGTGTATTCAATCAGCGCATATAGCATTCGGCAGAGGAAAGGATTCTGCCTTTATATTTTAAAATGTTCCAAAAAATCCACTTCCGAGGGAAAATGTTGTAGCTGCCCGTTAAGGAAGCCTGTCCGCCTGCTTCGTGGGGTGTTATTTTTAGATGCGACGGCAGCGGGCACCATAAATCTAATTGGTCGGAAGACTTCGTCTAGATCAAGACAAATAGATCAAACCATCGTCAAAAGGGGATCTTTAAAACCAACCTTAAACGCATTTTCGGTAAACGAAACTTAAACGTAGATTTAAGAGCACTAGACTTTGTTTTCTTGAAATAAATGCGCCATGTGGCCATGATATGCATGCAGTGATTTTTAACGCGAAGCGATATTTGCGTTGGAAAAATACGGAGGCAGATCAAGGCACGGCAGGTGTTATTTGGGATGTCCACAGATAGCAAGGGCAACATCTGGGATGGGAGCGTGGTGGCATGCCTAGGCTTAGGTTCACGCCCGATCCGGGTTTCAGACTTCCTGACTGTTTCTCTCCCCCAGGGTCAGGAAGGTGAGGGAAGAGATGGTGCAGTAGTTGCAGCGCAGGTCAACATTTCTGCCCCCACCCTGTTAGGCACACGATCGATGTCATCGGAGCCGATGTTCAAACTGTTGTTTTTTGAATATCAGACGCCAAAACCGATGTCGAAGAGGACGTCCAAAGTGTTTTTAGTCGAGCAAGGTTGTATAAGCACAGTGAAGCCTCGTTTACTGAAGTCCGCAAATCCAAAACCTTTACCTGGCTCCTGGCTGTCTCTACTATAGCCTGGTACACCATGCTAATTAATTCTATTCAAATCAGTGGCTGCGTATGTTACCGACGTTCGAAGAAGCAGTAACATACCAGAGACGATCTGGAAAAATATTCATATGAGCTATAGTTGAAAGTTAGTCCAATAAACAAGAACTGCGCGATTATGTTAAGCATTAAGGGGCCTCTTCCTTTCAGCCAACTCGCTAAATGAGAAAGCACTTGCTAACACTGGGACAGGGAAACCCTGGCCTTTGAAGGTTCACAGAGCCCGACATGGTTATATCAATAAGTCCTCAGGATAATCGGAAATGTCTTCGTGGAACTTATACAGTTTTTCTTGCCCTGACAGTGAGAAGAATCCAGCAAAGTGCAAGGGGAACATGGATGAGCAGGTGAAGGCTTACCAAGTTGCATTTTGGCAGGAGTTTCAGGAGGTAGACAGAAGAGCACCAGGGTTAGCGAAGAGAGCAGGAAACAGGGCAGAATGATGACGTAGTTGTAGAACGCAGGCTGCCGCTTTATCATTACCGAGAAGGTGATATCGGGGTAGATGTGGGGACAACAGGGGTAGCGAGTGGCGGTATAGACGGCTTTCGTGGAAACCAACTCCCACTCAGGACTGGGTTCATAGTCGCTCAAGTCGGCAGCGTCGAAGTTGTTGTAGAAGGTTATGTTGGTTCGTGCGCTGCAGGGGACAAGACAGTAATTTATATTGATGGGATCGTCGTTTATAAGGCTACTTTAAAAGTTTTTTGCAAATGTGTAGTTTTGACGCCTTGAAGTAGACCCGAGACTAGATAACAGTTTTACCCTACATTTGCGAGTTGACTGGGATGCAGCTTACACTACGTGTTGTCTCATCCACTAATACTATCACACACTAAAAGGTACCACAGTAATGTCCCCCATATCTTACTTTCTTGCTGACTTGTTAATACGGAAACTGAAATCTACGACCTGTCCATAAGTTTACTCTTAGTTGTGGGTGCGATTTATAGGCGAAGTATTAGCTGTAGTTAAAGGAAATCAACTATACACGCTCCACAACCCTAATATCTAAACTATTATAGATGTCTTCGTGCAGCAAAAGACTGAGAAAACTTTAAGCACACGCGGAAGTAC